AACACAAAGGGAGTACCAACAGACAAGGCCAGGAAGGTCATGATCATGAACTTTCATAGCGCGATACAGAATTAGCAGTTACTCCGTAGTTCGGTGTGTCTTCGTTAGATAGCGCTAAACTCTTTTTCCTTTTCAAATAGTTTGGCATTAGGTAAGTATTTTTTATTTTAGTTTTACTAAAGTTTAATTGACATTCTGAGGCACAATTCGGCTATAACCTATAAAAGAATTTAACAAGTATGAGGACATAAGATGTTAGGTGTACCGACGGAAGGGAAAACAATATCTGGTTATATTTGTGAGTCTTCCCTTGATATACAAAGATATAATTAATTAAATATATTTTATAAAATAATCAGCTCCACACATTGCTCTGTTCGAGTTATCCTTCGCGCATAACGCGATCGGCGTCGTCCTCGTAAGCCACAATTATAACGCCACGACGCCATTTTGATCGTATTAGGTTCTTTATAGGAGAGAGACCAAGATATTAGAAAAGTATTGAGTAAGTAGGTATTAGCTTCTTTATAATAAAATAAATATAATATAATATAATAAATATAATATACAAAATTAAGAGGTTATATATGTTTTGATAGAGCCTAATTTAGGGTCGTAATGCAAAGCAATTATGCAGGGTATAAGCGACGTAGTGGGGAATTTAAAAAAAAAAGACTATCATTCTGAGTCGAAAATCATTCGAACTTTCTGTTGGCAAATTGAACGTTTTAAGCAATCAGCCGTCAAAAGTTAAGGTCATTCCCCGCAGATATTGCACAAAAGTAACAACTATATTTGTATTCCGTGCAAATACTAACAGGAAGCGTCCCGAATGTTACCCAAATATTAAGAATAAGAATGAGAACAATTAAGTGTTATGTGACAGAAAGAGAGCCAACTTCTAGATGACTTGTAGAACAGTCACTCTACTTAGTACTTCACTGTGTAGAAAACAAGAATAAGACACTGTCAAAAAACAAAATATTGATCAGTGGGTCAATTCTTCATTAAAGATTTTGCTACGTGATCTCGTTAGCTGCTAGACCAAGGAAACTATTCTGTGAATTTTTCTCATTGCTCTCTCAACCATTTTCTTTAATTCCACCATTCTCTTTTCTTCTTTTATTGAGTATTGTTATCAATAAAGAATACTTTTGATTTTTTTTGTTTTCTTTAAGGATTAAAAAAAGGTGATGGAGATTAGTACAACTATTCATGTAAATGAAAAATAAAACAGCAAGCCTCGCCGTAGTCACATAACAATTTACATCTCACCTACCATCTGATGTGTGGTCGCGGTCATAAGTCCAGTCGAACTTTTACGAAGTTATAGCATTACAACTAGTTGGACTCATGACCTTCTTCTATTAACGTGTATGGCACACGCAGAAATACGCTACATGTGTATGATTTTAGTAACTAATTTCAACGTAATTAATAACTGTCCGTCTGGCGGTGCGGTGGACGCTGATCCAAATGCCGCCGTTACAAAACTCATGCAACCTCAGAGTACCTTTTGAGAATTCATAGAATGTGATTATATTGTGTAAACTGAATGGCTCTTAATCTAGGAAATGAAAGGCCTTGACCATGTGATTTCAGGTTCGCCAGAATCGACGCCGCTCCAAACTAGGCCTTATTCCAGGGAAAGCGAGTGGTTTCCTTTGCCATCAGCCTATCACTAAATGTTGCGGCCCAATAAAAATTTTGGTGCGATCAGGTCGCCATCCTATCTCCTACCACAGCAATTAATCTGCCGCCAGATCGCCCCACTCTCTAGTGGCCCGCAGTCCCATCTCTTCTTCGCTCGGATCGACCCTCTCCCGATCCGCGGTCACTTTCAGGTGCATTACAGCTTTACATATAGAGATCACTGCGCTTTAGCCGTCCTCACCCGTCAGCATGGCAGTAATGATTGCCGGCGGGGACAAGTCTCGTCCGATTCAACCAGGATTCGCGAAATTCAGACGCCCATCCGGGCAGTCTTAGGCGGTGTCCGAGTCGTCTGCTCAATACTGACATTGGGCCGTCTCCTAGCATCCAATCCGATTCAGGCTAACAGACTGAAGCTACCATGCGTAGTGAGTACCTGCACGACAGAACGGCACCGACAGTGCGTTGGCGCGCACGTCACTACACCTGTTTTTTTCGAGCTCGTCTTAGTCTTTCCCGCCCTTACCCCGGCGGATTGGGCAAGTCTGGTCATAAACCCTCCCGTCCAAATCTGCCAGGATATCAAAAGGCGGGAAACATGCCAGGACTGTCGCCGCCTCCGACGACTATGTCAAGACTGATAGTCAGACACAGTCACGGCTCGATCCAGCTCTCACTCCGTCACGTTAAAGTCGTCGGACACTCTTCCGTCCCTTTTCACGAAATCATGGCCATAGATTGCAATTAAAAGCAATGGAAAGATGGTACTAGTAATTAACTCCTCACAAATACACATAATAGACTTAGCAGCCTGATTTTACAAACCTTTACCTTCAAAGCTGTTGAAAAAAACTTTTCGGCACGGAGATCCAAATTTTATGTTTTCTATACTTAATAATGAAATAACTAAAGAAAGAAGTTTACCTCATAAAGAGTCTTTTCAAAGCACCTGAAAAGTTAATGCCACTTCATTAAGTATTCACCGATCACAGTTACACGCGGTGTCATAAGCTAGGTCACGTTACAGAGCGGGAAATACAGGCGTGGCTCGGCCAATCACGACTCGGAACACCGTGCGATAATTACCCAACCGGCCAATCACAGCCGAGGCAATGAGGCAATAATTAATGCGTCAGCCAATAAGGTATGCGCGGGAAAATTACATAAGTGACATTGCGTGTTTTATAGTGGTGTAATGGTGTTGTATTTATTTAGTCGAGACGGTTGTTTGCATAGTGGGAGTGTGAAAAACTGTTACTTTTTTTCAATTTTATGCTTTGAGATTTAAATTTGAGCTTGTAAGGAGTTTCTTATACGAGTAATATTGTTAAATCCTTTCTAAAGTGACAGTGTTTAAACAGTCTGTTTTAAATGGCGATAATTGAGACAAACAAGATCTAAATATAATTTTTAATTAAATTAATCTTGACAAATGATTCAGGATACATAAGTTCCATATTTTATCAATTTTAAGGTTGTTAAGACGAAAAAAAGCAAAGGATTCATCATTAAAAAAACACTAAAAAAAATTTTATTGAGATTAAATATTTTTTAACTTTATGGGTTTATTTAATGGAACTGCCTTGTCTACATAGAAGTTTTATACTTTGTGGTCTTCTATATTAAAAAAGAAACATGAATGTGCTATCATGATGTAGAAAAACATTACTTTCTTAATGCACGGATATAACTATTAAAAAATTTAATATTTCCAATCGACCGGCTCATTGCAGTCCACTACTGAACATAGGCTTTTTCTAATGGCACCTGATTCCATCTAGGTACAATCTCCAGGTGGTTGATACATAGTAGATTTACTAAGAACATATACATGTTACAATACGGCGCGAGTATAATTGATAATTAAAGTTTTTTGACAAGTAGGTAGCTAATGTGGCTGTATGATTTGGCTAAATTTGGTCTTGAAATAGTCCAGGGAAAGTTTAAACGGTGACAAAATATGAAAAAATGCGAGGAAAATAGTAAAAAAAACAATTTTTGTTTTCCTATAAGTACTAAATGTTCCTTCATTTCAAACAGTTGATGCCGTCGTCGGTACGATAAACGGTCGGATCTTTCAAATTAAAGAACAATTTTAAATAAGAGCTTCGAATCGACAAGATATAGGTATACACAGTATTTGAATTATCGTGTATTTAGATTTAAAAAACGCTAAAAAATAGTGCCATTGAGACAAAGGATCTACATATTACATATTTGTTGTTATGGGTGCGTTCAGAAACTTATTTTGTGGTTATATTTAGAAGGCGATTTTAAGCTACATAAATAAACAGAAATCAAATCTCGTAATTAATAATAACCAGGCACAGACGAGAGATTAAAAAATCTATCTGACATTATTTATTTAGTTACTTTATGAGCGAGAACTTTCTTTAAAATTAATTAAAATTTTGAGCTTCACTTTTTTTTTTAAATTTAGCCCTATTAATTGTTGTTCTTTTTGTGAATAGAGACTATTAGAAATATAAATAAATAGATGTAGGTGACACGAAGTTCACTGGGTCTAGATGACCTAGTTTTTAATATGTGTGGTCACGCGATAAACATAAAATTCAAAAAATGTATTTAAAAATTACTTTACTTTTTTTTAGAAAGACGGGCCTAACTAGTATGCCAGAGGTAGTGGGTTCGATTCCTACCCAGGACATATAATTGTGTGATGAGCACGATCATTTGTTCTGTTTGGGTGTAATTTATCTATAAAAATATATATTTAGAAATACGTAAGTACCTATATTTATGATCAGCCTGGTTACCATAGCACAGGCTGCATAGTTTGAGATCAAACGCCCTAGTGTGAGATGTGTGAGGTTATTATTATTATTATTCGCAGTTCCGCCAACTAATATATTGCTCGAAATGACTTGATACATTATTCCGCAAAAACAGATTTTCATGAAACAGTATTTTTAAGAATTGAAAAAACTAGATTGCACAAAACGTTACTTAGGTAATACTTTTGACATCTCCACACAATTTGACAAATTCAATGTTTATTAATTATATTTAGTAGGTAACTTAACCTAAACATTAGTTCTTCAAAGTGGCCGCTAAATTTTATCTACAAATTAGGATAATATTTTCTGGTTTCTAGCAGGTCATGATAATTTATTCTTAACAGGTAGGTACATCTATAAAGTTATTTTAAATTACATAAACAGTGAAACAAATGTAAAACGAAACTAAAGTAAGAAGTGTTAAACGGTACTACATCAATAGTGTCTCCAAAATAAAAAGCAAGTGTTGTAAATTAAAAAAAAATCAGTTAACAAAATTCATTTGCCAATTAAGTGTTGACAAACATTCAAAATTTGGAAATTTAAAAAATGGAACCATCAGTGCCTCTGTATGAACTGGAATCTGTGGCGTGTTCAGCGCAGCACAGCGGCGCTTTAGCAGCGCTGCGACTGCTTCGGAGCTACAACCATTTTCTTGTACCACCGGGTGAGTTTGCACCAACATTCACATACATATTTATAAAGGACTAACTGTCCCCTGCTATGCTTTGCTGTAGTACATTGTGGTTGCACAGGATGAGAAATGTGAAACAAAACTGATGCGTAAAATAGACAAAAAGAAGCTTTGGAGCGATTTGTATATTGTGTCAAAATATGAGCTCAAAAAGTGCTGAATTTTTTGAGTTTTTGAAACGTACACAAACCAACTTAAAACTTTTATGTATAAAGATAAAATGTTTTGTACTCGTGTGCAGCGCGTGACACCAGCCCATGATTATTATTACACCATTAGGAGTGCTTTTTGTTCTTCAAATTGGAATTAGACCAAACGGTAAAAATACCTATTTAAAAAAAACGGGCAAGTGCGTGCCGAGCCACACCCAATGTAGGGTTCCGTAGTTATCTATCACAACAATGCGGACTAATACGAGGGATTTTTTGGTATTTTGCTGGAGTCGGCGGCTCATGACGCCTAAAAGTAATAATATAATAATAACGTTTATTTCTCCTCACAATAAAGACTTATTATACACAAAATAGTGAAAAATACTTAGGACATTTATTAGCAGTCTAAAATATGTGAGGAGCTGGTGTCCGAAGTAGGTTGATCCTCAATTACGGATCACCAGGACCCCACCCCACAGTAGTTAGATTTGAAAAGTAGGCCCACATAGGACTGAAAAAGGTTATAAAATTTAGCTTCACAAGTAAAGTGTCAAAAGACATTCTATTTGAGTACCACTGCATGTAGAAACGACAGGTTGTATTGAAGAATGTTTTTTTTTTACGTGTGGAAACCCCCTCGGGCCGTCACCCAACTGGGGTTTGCGGCAGGGTGATGTGTCAGAATTAGACCCACAAAACCACACAGTGTGAAACTCTACGACTGTAATAGGAAGGTTCCGGAAACTGCTGTTATTAAGACATCCGGACCTGTTATAAGGAATGATAAATCATAGGTTAGAATCATAGGTACGTGGTTACCACACCTTTTCGACGGAGGCGGCGTGCGCGTTGGTCGCACTAAATATTTCGTAAATATTTGCCAGATCACTCACTAGCTCCAAATGTATCGCTGTTGTGGCGAATAAAATAAATACAACTACATATATACACTTTTACTAGTCTATATCTAGAGTTATTGGCTTAGTTTTGTTACGGAATCTTCGAATGTCATTTTGAGTCACTTGTAAACGTCGAATTAAATTGAAACTTTGCAAATATATCGAGGACCGATGACAATGCAATAATTTAAATAGTTTGTCCTATTATCCCGACCTGACCCTTCAGGAATAACAGTTTTTTCCATACCAAAAAATACGATAGTGACTTTTACCACGTACTAAGGCGTGCTGAAGCATATGTGATAAAGTTACCTGTTACTTGCTTAGTCTTAATAGGACAATAATCATCATTAATGTCTAGAAAAGGAAAATAAATTATAGGTATTATACATTATATAAATTTGTGCCAACCCGTCGGGCCAGCGTCGTATAGTAGGCCAAAAGTTCCTTTCTAAGGAGAGGCCTATGTCCAGCAGTGGACTATTATAGACTGTAGACGAAATATGTGACAAAATGAAAGAGATATAACTGAAACATAAATAAGATCATGGCGTTTTGTTATTTCATATTATTAACATTGACATTACCGGTTTCGGCGGCCTATAACGTTGGGTTAATCGACTACTACTCGTAAAGTAATAAAGCCTACTTGGCTGTGATACCTTTTAAATTTGTTATATATTCTACTCGTCGTCTCGTTCTACTACCATGATTTTTTACAGATCTTCAAATTCTGCCGTTTGGATAGTATGAGGGCGCGGGGGGGGGGGGGGTATCTTGACTTTGACAGGTTTCTAGCACCAATAGTCTGTGAGATATGCGGACAGACATGACGAAACTACTTTTCGAGGGTTTCGTGATTGCCACCTTGGCTACGGAACCCTAAAAAAGAAAGTCTAAAGTGACAGAATTAAAAACCGCCTCCTTTTGGAGTTTCTTTAAAAATAAATTTGTTTGTTATTAATATTCTTGGGTATGATCTATATGTTATTTACATATAAACATATTTGATAGCATCCACAAAAACTATAATACTCGTATTTATGTTATGGAAAAAAGGTTATCAATTTACTCTTAGGCGATGATCACTGACTCGTTCTCAGTGTGTTGTCCTAGGCGTACAACCCCGGTTGGGTGACAGCCCACACGTAAAAAAAACGTGTTTTCTATGTGACGGTTTTCACACTGCACAGTACAGTATGAAAACCGCCTTATAATAAAGAGAAAACAAATAAAATATTGTTACCATTCCTACCGTAGCTTAGTGCTACGACTATATTTCCGTAGCATTATTATTGCTACGCAAAGATCGTTGTAGCCTTTACAGGTTCGAAATGAAATTGCTACAAGTTTCAATTCATCAGCATCATCATTTCATTGATCCTTTCGAAATTTGATTTCGAATCTTCGCAATGTGTAACACTACAAAAGGTTTGACTGATTTCTTTTGTGGCCGACATCTGTCCGACGCCAATCTTCCTTGACGATGTGACCATGAAATAAATAAATACATACATACATACGTACCAAATACATACACATAAATGAAATGATATTTATTTCTGTCAGTAAATCTTTTCAGATATTTTTATAAGTTGGAACATACATACGTACATAAACACTTACCTATATCTGCACTTACCTACAAGCAATTCCCCACCATTATCAACCATTTTATAGGAATTTAAGCTTTTGTGATACTGAATCAGGTCACGATGAGGATTCTGATTAAGATTTTTAACTGTAATAGGACCTTATTATAATTTTCATGATTGTGTAATCATATGTAATAGTCGTGTCTTCAGTGCATTGGCTATTTTTTATGATAATAATAACTATCGTGTTTTGTCAAACTAACCAAAGTTGTTTCATTTACTAGAATGTCCTTTATTTCATAAAATATACTATAATAATCATCCAATAATACTTAAGTAAACTATTCGAATAAACAGTAATAGTCATAACAATAAAATGTTACATAAATAAGGTACAAAACTATTTACCCGAATAATATCGTAAAGTAATTTTACTGTCAAATCATATTGATATTTTTTTCATAAAGATCTAAAACCATATTATTCGTTTAAAATACATTTTAATGAATTTTTATGGAATATACGCGTAGTTTTTCATATCTTCGTAAATAAAGATAGAAAAATTCAAAAAAAAAAATTACATGGTGTATTTTAACTTCTAGATGCCGAAAAACGCATATCATGAAAAACCCCGTAATAGGTCATTACCGGATTATTCGCGGGGGGCGTCGATGATAATTTTGCCTTTGATGTATTTACTTCACAATTTAAGAAATGTGTCAGATACATGATAAATAAGCTACTATTTGATCTCCATAAGTTTAGTTTCTTTTTCCAAATTCGAATTCAAATTCGATACGAATACGACCCAGTTGTAAGTATTTATAATCCACAACTTTACAGTGGCACCATATTAACTTTGCAATCTAATAAAATATTATGTGGATAATGGTGCTGTTTGCGTAATTATCTAACTGCACATATTATTACTCGTAGAATAAAACATTATTAGCGTGTATAATGTAATGAGCACCATCAATTACTTGCCTTAACTGAATGATTCTGAATTCTGAACTGAATTCATCAACGCAGTCTAAACCGCTCGGCTACAAACGTGAAATTTTGATAACTGATGCACTTTATGTAGCAAGCACTCAATAAGAAAGGATTGTTTGTAAATTTTACCCGAAAGGAGGTGAAATAAGAGATGAACAATATTTATGTTTGACAATAGTTTGGTTACAATTGTACAGGCTCTGCTTAGTTCGGGATCAGATTATTATTATCTAATATCCGTATTATTTGCTTTCACGCATTCTGACAAAAAGTATTAAATGTTATGCAAAAAAACCGCTAATAACAAAGCAAACATTATATTTGGACATCTGATGAGCCAGATTATTAGGGGGCGGTAATAACACTTAATTACCCGACACACCCTACCCTCAAAACTTTCCCTTAACGATCGGGGTCAAAGCGTGTCGCGATCGAGGTTATGAACTAACATTTTGTGGTGTCTGTGGTTTGACATTTATTAGGAATTAATAATTAGTAATAATAACCTCAGACATCTCACAAACGGTTGTCTGATCCTAAACTGAGCAGAGTCTGTGCTGCGGTAATCAGACTGCTGATAAACATACTCATATTTATAAAGACATACATGTTATAGATAAATTACACCCAGACACCGAACAAATAATCGTACCCATCATACAATTATTTATCCTTGGTAGGAAACTTGGCTTGGCCGGAATGTTTTTGGTGGGATTTCACGTCTTTTTGTAAGTTGCTTAGAACGTTAGCATCAAAATTTTGCGGAACTCTCATACAAACTTCCACTTTAAGGGATTGGAGGGAACAAAGTTTTAAGATTTATAATTTTTTGGTTCTTTGTGTATTTATAGTAGCTTACATACCAAATTTCAGTTTTCTAAGACTTCAGGAACTACTCTAAGAATTTTGATGATCATCTGTGAGTCAATGAAGAAATCGTCGTCTTTTAGATATCAATAAAATCTAAAGAATGATAATTGTCATTTTGCAATCAAGCAATTGAAAGCTTATATTTTTATTAAGTCTACTATTGATATCATATCCCGAGAATTTTCTTTATCTGTATAATCCAAACGAATACGACACAGCGAAAAAAGCAACGAGGCGCTTCGCTTAACTCGTCTGGGCGGAGGCACTACCGTGCCCCCAGATTTGTCCAATTTAATAGGAACCTCGTCAAGCCACCATGTGCTATAACCAAACACGCACGCACGATCGCTGACGTATCACTATTGATTTTTACCAATATAAACCTCTTGCCCACGGCTGTCACATCTCAAACTAGGCAAAACCTATACTATGCTAGCCACACTGTTGATAAACTTACTTAT